GCACACCAGCCTGTGTGATTATGAGGTGTTGATGGCATCAGGTATCAACCATCAAAGACCCAGAACAAAAATCATAATGTGAATGAGGGGCAGGGCAGAGTGGAGACCCAAAACCCATCTGTAGACAATTGGACATCCCCTTACAGAAGGGCCACAAGGAAGAGATGAGCCAGTCAGGGTGCAGAATAGCATTGATGAAACATACCACTTTCCTTAAGAACATCTTAATGTTCTTAAATGCTTCCCCCACTATCATTCCCCACTCCGACCTTACAAATCCAGCTAGTCCAGAGCATGTACACTGGTACAGATAGTGCTTGAAACACAGGGATCCAGGACAGATAATCCCCGCAGGACCAGTAATGAGAGTAGCGATACCAGGAGGGTAAGGAGTTGGTGTGGAGTAGGGGAGAACCAATAACAGTGATTGACATATAACCCCCTCCTGGGGTGGGGACGGGGGACGGACAGCAGAAAAGTAGGTGAAGAGAGACAGCAGTCAGTGTAAGATTTTAAAAATGAATTTTTTTTAATAAGGATTCATGAGGGAGGAAGGGGGAAGGGGATGAGCTGATACCATGGGCTCAAGTAGAAAAAATGTTTTAAGAATGATGATGGCAACATGTACAAATGTGCTTGACACAATGCATGTATGTATGGATTGTGATAAGAGCTGTACGAACTCCCAATAAAATGATTTAAGATAAAAGTTTTTAGAAAAATGGAAATAAAAAAGAATGGACCTTTCCACAGTGACTTTGTAGCTCCCTTGGATTGTACTTCTGACTTCAGAACACCAATTTACTGGTGAATTTACACTAATGCAAGCGAAAGCATTTGTTAACGGTGTGTACAGGGAGCGTTTTAATTCTGTCGGTTCTTTGTATATCCTAAGTGACCCTGGTGGTACTGTCGGGTAAGCGCTGGACTGCTAGCTGCAAGGTCGGTGCTTCAAACCCACCAGCTGGGAGCAAGTTGAACCTGTCTGCTCTGGTAAAGACTGACGGCCTGGGGAACCCTCTGGGGTTGCTGGGAGTTGTCATCGACCACGTGGCAGTGGCCTTTTCGGTTCCGGTTTTGTGTTTTTGTCTGGCAGTCATGTGGCATTTGGGCTCTGTCTTGCTGCTTGCAGTGCACCTAGCAAACTGTATTCTCCACATCGCTCAGAGACGTGGCTGGGCGCCGTGCTTCTCGCTTTCCTCCACGTTGCAGGCACTAGATTGCTCTCAGGGCTGCCTGGCTTTCTGTTTGTTATTGGCACATCTTAGGGTTCGTAATGTGTGAGACATACATACTCTTGGCTGTTTTCATTCTCAGGTGTGATGTTTCCAGCCCCTACAGACAGTGACCAGATGTATAAAGATACTGACAGTAAAAGGCACAAAGAGAAAGAAAGAAAGGTATTCACGTCACTTCTCTCAGATCTGACTCGGAAAGAGCCCACTGCAGCCGGCTTCTGCCCGTGGTCGTACTGCACCTCTGCTTCTCCCTAGCTTTGGTGCCTTAGCAGCACCCCCGAAAGAAATCAATCTATTTTTGTCCTATTAACTGAAGGTAATTAGTGCTATATGCTAAATGAGGAAATTGTGAAAATCGAGAATCTATAATCGATGTGGAAATTGAGAATCTATAATCTCTATTCAGAACACTTTGCATTCTCTGGAAGGCTGTTCTTGTTCATTTTAATTATTTAATTATTTTTTTCTTGTTCGTTTTAAAGAATGTCTTTTTGACTAGTTCGCTTGTGCCCTGTGTAGACTTTTCTGG